CAGGATGGTCTCGATCTCCTGACCTCGTGATCCGCCCGTCTCGGCCTCCCAAAGTGCTGGGATTACAGGCGTGAGCCACCGCGCCCGGCCGGAAGACAGTTTTTCCATGGATGGGGTAGGAGGGATGATTTCAGGATGAAGCTGTTCCCCCTCAGATCATCAGGCATTAGATTCTTCTAAGGGTCACGCACATGCAGTTCACAATAGGGCTTGCACTCCTGTGAGAATTAAATGCCGCAGCTGATCTGACAGGAGATGGAGTTCAGGCGGTAATGCTCACTCACCCACCACTCACTTCCTGCTGCATGGCCGAGTTCCTAACAGACCATGGACTGGTACCAGTCAGTAGCCTGGGGCTTGGGACCCCTGCCCTAGATCTAATAGACAAATCAAAATAGAATAGCACTAACCATTCTATTTGGTAAAACAGTTAACTGAATATGCAACATGATCACAGTGCCAGAGGATAAGTAGATTGCCAGACTGGAAATTACCTGTCAAGCTCATGGAAATTTTATCTTATTAAGCTTATTCTTGTGGTAGAGAGGGAGGAGGGATTTTGCAAAGGGAAATGATTTGTGATTAACAGATTTCTTTGAACAGACTAATTCATCTGATAAACATTAAGACTTTTTTTAGGCTTAGAATTTTTTTTTTCCAGATCATAAAGTGATCTAAACTGTTAGGGCTTTAAAAAATCTACTTCCACAGCTGGATATTGGTAATTCTGTTTTGTACTTTAAGCATCAATTGGCGTATTTTTAAAATCTCATATTTTGGTTCCAAATAATGAGAAAGAAAAAAAGATTTGACTCATTTGCAAGCCTTTGTCAGAAAATAACACATCGCAAGTGTAGACAATCCTTGCTTAAAATTAAAAACTGAGTGTATTGGGAGGCTGAGGTGGAAGGATCACTTGAGCCCAGGAGATTGAGGCTGCAGTGAGCTATGATCTCACCAGTGCACTACAGCCAGGTTGACAGAGCAAGACCCTGTCTCAAAAATAAAATAAAACCTAAGTATAATATCATTACAATTTTTTCCCAAAGGTGGGCATATTCCTGAAGGTGACCATTTTTTACATTGACTTTTAAAGTCCTAGAGATGGCTTGATGTGCTATATAAAGTTTTTGGTCAAATGAATGGAATATATAGAATCTGATGAAGATCATCTTGAGATTAAACTTGCAGAATTATCATTCTTTTTTTGTATTTCTGTTTGTTTTTTTGAGACGGAGTCTTGCTCTCTCTCCCAGGCTGGAGTACAGTGGTGCAATCTCCGCTCACTGCAAGCTCCACCACCCCCGGGTTCACGCCATTCTCCTGCCACAGCCTCCCGAGTAGCTGAGACTACAGGCGCCTGCCACCATGCCTTGCTAAGTTTTTATATTTTTAGTAGAGACGGGGTTTCACCATGTTAGCCAGGATGGTCTCGATCTCCTGACTTCGTGATCTGCCTGCCTCGGCCTCCCGAAGTGCTGGGATTATAGGCATGAGCCACCACGCTGGGCCAGAATTATCATTTTTAATGCTCTCCGTGAAGTTGTATTTCTGGCTGGGCGTGTGGCTCATGCCTGTAATCCCAACAATTTGGGAGGCCTAGTCCTGCGGATGACTTGAGGTCGGGAGTTCAAGACCAACCTGGCCAACATGGTGAAACCCCATCTCTACTAAAAATACAAGAATCAGTGGGTATCATGATGTGCACCTATGGTCCCAGTTTCTCAGGAGGCTGAGGCAGGAGAATCGCTTGAATCCAGGAGGCGGAGTCTGTAGTGAGCCGAGATAACAGCTGGGCAACAGAATGAGTGAGAATCCATTTCAAAAGAAAAAAAGAAATTATATTTCAACATCAGTGTTCCTTGCT